TATATAAAATGTTTAAATAATAATCAAAATTATTATATTATATTATATTATATTCATACCACATCCCACTGACGCATTAAAGATCACATTAAGATGAGTAAAGAGACACCTGACTCTTTGCTAAGCTCCACCCATATATTCACTGTACTCTGATCTCTCAGTTTTCCTGCCACCGGCAAACATGGAGGGAGAAGCTACTGTATCATATTAAATAAATTACCTTATAAATGATTAAATAACATCTGTATCAACAGCGCATTTTTATCTATGAGACCTAATGATACATAATTGCCTACATTGTTTCCAAAATGTCATGAAATACATCCAAAACATGAAATTGGGGAACCAAAAAGAGAGGTTGTAATTGGAAATGAGGGTTAACAGAATTTTATTTTTTTATTTTTATTTTTTTTTTATATGTATTTTGTGTTCCCATTACAATTATTTTACATTCCATTTAAAACTATTCAAATACACAGTATTTCCTTAGACTTGCATTATACTCTTAGAAATAAGGGTTCTTTATTGCCATCTATGGTTCCATGAAGAAATTTTAACATTCATAGAACCAAAAATGACATTTTTTCAAATGGAAAAAAAAAAGTTCCTTAAAGTGGAAAAAAATATATATTATTATTTTTTTTAAGAACCGTTTACTTTGGGGAACCCAAAATGGTTCTTCTATGGGTCTTCTGAGCGGAAAAACCTCTTTTGAAATATTTATTTATAAGAGTGTAGAAAGAGCAACTGTTCAAATTAGCGTGAGAGTGCAATCCCTTAAAAGCGGCAACAGGAGTGGAAAGTTCTACGGCCGATTTACTGACAGTGCGCACATTAAGGAACACAGACACAGCCAGATAATTTCCATAACGACCAACGTAATCTACCAAGAGGAGCACAAATTAGTGTCTGGTTTAAGATGTGATTTTTTTAAGGCAGTAAATAATAGCACAATTAGGCAAAGTAAATTGACTACCGCAAATCTTAGTAAATCATGTTGCATGATTCATTTAAATAATCTCCCATAAGTTTTGCGTCTGAAAGGGACACTGTGTCCACACCTTTTGATCGCTAGTCTTTCACTGTGCGTCTTTAGTAAATCCTGACAATAGTTTTTTCACATCAAAAGAGGGTTTGCGTGCCTTTGTGTCAGTGGTGGCGGTCCATGTTGCCAATTGATGCCTAAAGTAAGTAAAGTTGGTGGCTATAGCATTTGTGGTAGATGAGTTTAGGTTTCCTTCTCTTGGTTAATGAATATGAATAATAGATTTTTAGACTAATTAATGCAGTTTCTCTCTGTGCCAACTTTCACACAGGATTCAGTGGCATCTCATCAGTTACACCGTCATGGACTGTACCAAGCATCCAGTCTTTTTCCCCAACATCGTATTGACAGTTAGACCGTATTAGCCACATCAGCACTGTTTCCTTAATTGATCCTTAAGTGCTTGCATCATAGACTCTTAAGTACTAAGTCATAATATACTTGCATACAATGTAGCATTAATGCAAGTATATTATGTCATATCAGGATTACATGCATTCAATCTGTTGCTTTTCATAGCAGAAAATGGGTCATGCATCTCAGCTCGTGCCAGACCCCACTCATCTCCATATGTTCCCTCAATGCACTCAAGACTTTCCTTTGCCAGCTCTTCCATCCCCATAGAACAGAACAGTTATTATATCCCTTTTGGCTTAATACAGTGCATTTGAGCATCAGCTTTGATGCTTCTTTGTTCTGAACTGCCTTCAATAATTCTTAAATTACTTCAAATGACTACGCCAGCAACCCATCCACAATCACACCCCGCCGCAGCAAACAGCACACATCTGAATGCACTTGAGGTCCTTAGGACAGAGTATGTACAGGCAAACAAGCTGTAAATAGCTCTACCCCTTATCCGTAGGGTTCCAGAAGGATTCCTTATGTTGTGGATTATTTTTTCGAAACCAAAAACCAAGAAGAAACAAACACTTTTCAAACACTTTTAGAGGTTGTTGAGTTCCCTTAGTCTGTATACACACTTAATTCACTCAGTGTTCTCGATTGGAGCTTAAAATAAATGTCTTAACGGAAATTCAGTCCATTTCTGTAGATTCCTCTAAATATACATCCTTATTTTTGTGGTGTTTAATAGCCTGCAGTTGCCATTAACACGTCACTGATAATGTTCTCTAACCGACAGCAGACTGCTCTGCTCCATATGTGGGTCAGTGACACACGAACTGCAAAACACTCTGTTGAATTACCACACTAAAGATCACATGTAATCATACGCTGCCATCAAAACCGGGGACAAACATTTTCAAATGCAATGTAGCGCAAAAACGCACATTTGCTAAATAGTTTGAGGCTGACAAATTCAGCATGCAACTGATTTGCATTTTTATATCTAAAAGCACAGGGCGTTGTTTATATCAATGCATGTGTTCGTGCTGTTCCTTTCAGTTCAGTGTCTTTTGAATGCATAAATAAGCAGGAGTATTGCACTGACTAGCTTTGTTATTGTCTTCATTACACACGGACAAGTAAGCAAATGCGTGGAATGCACTTCAGGGTGCTTTTCATGGCTTCATTATGGCTGTGTAATATTCAGCCGAGCTCATGTCCATTTTTAAAGCTGGCATGGGGTGTACTGTGCCTCGGTGTTTTGCTGCGGTCACTGGGCTTGTTATTTCCCCTGAGCTTTTCCTTTTATAACCACCTGAAGCTAACTCACCTCAATATCTGAATCAAAATTGAATTACACAGATACACAGACTGTTTTTTATTAAAAATCATGACTTGTAACACTGTTGGAAATCTAGTTCAGCTATTTACTGTAGTCATTATGCATGCTAATTACATGGTTCTCTTGAATGCTTAATTCTCATTGGACAATCATGGTATTCAGCAGTCAAATGTTTTAGCATAATGGCCCCATAACTATTCTTTCGCACAGCTGTGCTAGTTCCATGTCTTTTGTAGCATTTTGTGCTCATATATTAAAATAATTTAGTTAAAACGATATTTAATGTTTGTTTGTTTGTTTGTTTGTTTGTTTATTTTAGCTTTGTAATAAGCAGGATAATATTAAGCAAATGAACAAACAAACAAACCCCTTCAGGATAGAACCCCTCTTCTTCACATTAAGGGTTTATAATGATCCGCTAAATGTACATTATAATTTGCCAGTGTTCATTTAATTTATGTACTATTTATGTACTATTTTAGTATGTATTAATATGTTGAATTAGCTTTTATTTTTATGTTTTCAGTTTCATTTTAATTTTAGTTTAGGTTGTTGTAATTTTGTTATGTGCTTTTATGTTAATTATATGTATATTTATATTAAAATATTATTTATTTTTCTTTCTTTCTGTTTTAGGAATTTTAGTTAGTTGCCAAAGCAACATTTATAGTTTTTTTTTAGTTTTTATAGTTTTTATAAGATCTATATTTTACTATACTGTATTTCAGCTTCATTGCATTTATTTATTCATTTATTTTCTTTTATTTTTTGTATAGTTTTAGTTTTAGTTAACAATGAAAGCACTGCCCTGAACATATCAATAGCAGATTCAGGAAAATCAATCAATCAATCAATCCAGTTTTACCATATTTTCTGGGGGAAAAAATTGCATTAAAACTATTCAAATACACATTACTTCCCTAGACTTCTTTCCGGTTTCTAGTATGTCTCGGAAGGCTAAAAAGAGGCAACTATTGATTAAACTAAAAAAAGAGAAGCTACATTTGACAGCAATTACAGCTGATAACAAATGATAGCCTTCACTTTGTATTTGAGAACTGATGGCCATTTTGGGGTTTATTTTGGTTTATAATGACCTGCTGATTGTAAATTGTCCCTTACATACCAAAAGCAGATGCAGCAGAAAGTCAAGAAATAGTGCTCTGGTACAGCTGACTATAAACTCCTTCACAGTTGACTCCCAGAAATGTTGTTTATATAAATAGATAAGTTGATACAGCTCAACACAGCATGCCTGCATAAACACGATTTGGTTTTCTCCAGAATAGCTCTCTGCAGAGGCTGCTTGGCGTTCCTTCGCAAGCTTTATGATCCAGCACGAGGCATTAGGGCCTAAGATCTGAGCAGTGTTTCCTATGAAACACCAGAATCATTACCCATTCCCACTGAAGCCGAGCTCCGCTCTGTTTGTGTTTGTGTGTTTACAGTAAATGGCCGGATAAAAGGCGGGCTGAAGTGAGTTGGTCAGACAGGCCTTGCCAAAGCCACAGGCTGTTCTGCTGCTTTGCTGCCGCTGTGGTGTTTTGATGTGCGCTGCTGTGCAGATGCAGTTTTTGGGCGATCACCAACAAGCTACCGTACAGGAGGAGACTCTGGTAAAGTAAGGGATATCTTTCAAGGTTAGTGTCAAATCCCAAGGGCACCATGATGCAGCTGTTGCTTTATAGCACAATGTCAGATTGTCGGGCCATGTGGCATCTGTCCCTGCTTGCTCCGCCAAAAACAGTTCAACAGAAGAGAGGATGCCCTTGTAAAGAAAGTGTGCTTAATTGTATTGAATGTGCATTTGTGTTGTACTTCATTATATATATATATACACATACACACACATATATATATATATATATATATATATATATATACACACACACACACACA